CAGTGTTACTATAGATGCTTCAGTGACTTGAATAGCATGAAAAAAGGAAAACAAATGGATAGGCATGGATAAAATGTGATGTTTATACTATCTAGCATAAGATACAGATATACTCTCACTTAGATATAACAATATACTTGATTCAGACTAAATTTAATACTGAATTATGATTGGTGACTTCTTAAAGATGGTTGTCCCGTGAGCGTTTCATTATAGAGCTTATAATGAGCTTTAAGTTTGTCCTCCTTCTTATGTATTTTTAAAAATATTTATTTTTATTTTATGTGCATTGTTATTTTGCCTACATGTATGTCTGTATGAAGGCATTGGCTCTCCTGGAACTGGAGTTGCCATGTGGGTGCTGGCAATTGAATCCTGGTCCTCTGGAAGAGCAGTCAAATGCTGTTAACTGCTGAACCATCTCCATAGCCCATATTTATTTATTTTTAAAAAATTATTTAAGGGTATTTTGCAACTTTGTGGCATGGAAAAAGATTCAGCCTAATTATTATTGCTGCAACAGAACTTAGAATTGAAATGATTTATTATAATTATGGGATTATTTGTTCATATCAAAAATACCTGTTTGCTGCCTATAATATAGTAAGTACAGATGTCTTCACATACAGAAGTGTACAAAAAGATTCTGTGCACATGCTCTGGAAAGATCCTCGGATGCCCTAAGATCTCATCTCTGATTGGCCTTTAGGATCTGTATAAGCAAGAATCTGAGGCTAGGTTTTGAACTGCCACTTGCATTGACATATACCTCAGTATGTACAACAAAAACCCTTCACAGGTACTGGGGAATGTGTTAGTTACTACACTAAAGGAAATCCCTGTACTCATTAACTATTTATAAATTGATCAGAGGCTTCAGTAGTCGCACATGACAAAGAATGTAATACAGAATTAAATCATAAAAGTCCCTAGATAAATGGATCAATGGGAGAAAACCTGGTTCAGAAACAAACATATGTCTATGGCAATCGATTTTTCTACAAGAGTGTTAGAGTAATTCAATGGAGAAACATTTGTCTTTTCAATAAATGGTCTGGGATAAATGGATTAACATGTACAAGAGAATTAAATTCACCTAATATCATATAAAACAGCCTGAGCTGATAACAGAACTAAATATGAGAAATATGAGAGTTAAAATAATGAAAGTCTTAAGAGAGAACATAGTTGTAAATCTTACTGACCTTGGATTAGTCATTCATTTCCTAGATAGACAATAAAAGCATAAGAAAACGCGCGCGCGCACACACACACACACACACACACACACACGGGGGGGGGGGGGGGGGGGACAGGAGAAATAGATATTGTCAAATTAAATGCTGTGTGCTTCAAAATATACTCATTACCAGGAAATTGAGGAGGGATCCAAGGAGATGCCTCAGTGACTTGTCACACAAGCATGAGAACCTGACTTTGGGTCTCTGGAACCCTTACACAAACAAAGCTGGGCAGGTGTGATGACTGCCTGTAATCCCAGCACTAATAAGGCAGAGACAGGATCCCTGGGGCAAGCTGCCTAGTTAGATGAGTCTAAATTGGTGAGCTATTGGTTCAATAAGGGACTCTACCCCGGTAAGTAAAGTGGAGAGTGATCAAGGCAAACATAGAATTAACTGTAGGTTTCCCTATGGACCCTACCTCCACCCTACATGTGCACACAGCAAACAGAAACAAGCTCAAACACCACAAACACTGTGCATACATGTAAAATGAAAGAAAGAAATCAGACTGACCACCTTAAAGTTTTAAGAAAATATTTTTACATAATATATCTGATAAGGGTATAGTATCCAAAGTATGTAAATAACTACTAGGACTCATTAGTAAAAGGCAAGTCAGTCTATAAATCAATAGCTAATGAGGAGGCTGGAGAGATGGCTCTATGTAAAGCCATCTTTATTTAAATTATGTAAAGGTGCTTGCCATTACAACTGGTAACTCAGGTTCAATCCATGACCCACTGGATAGGAACAGAGGACCAACTCCCACAAAATGTCCTCTGTCCTCCATATATCATAAAGCTCCCATACACATGCTTATATACACTTATACATAAAAATAGATAAATAATGAATGATTGTAATACAAAAAGAAAAAATTACTTGGAGATGAAAAGAAAATGAAGAAAGTTTTAGAAGGAAAAATGGTGAGAGTTTGCTGTAAGAATTGCATGTAAGAAAAGGTAAATGGAGCCATGCATGGTGGTGCACACTCTAGAAGCAGAGTCAGGCAGATCTCTGTGAGTTCAAGGCCAGCCTGGTCTATATAATGAGTTATAGATAGCCAGGGCTATGGAGAGAGACCTTGTGTCAAAAATCAAAACAACAAATATAAACTAAAAAAATAAATAAAACAACCAACAACTGCAAAATGGGGATTGGAGATGTGTAGCTCACTGGTGCTACAGTAGCCCTACTGCTTGAGGCCCTGGATTCAATCCTCATTTAAAAAAAAAAAAAAAAAGCTGTGGAAATGGTTCTCAAAAAGACGTTATTGCTACTAAGTCTGACTATGGAAGTTATGTTTCCCAGGACTTATGGGGTAGAAAGAGAACCAAGGAGCTAGAGAGGTGGCTCAGAGGTTAGGAGTATTGGCTACTCTTCCTAGAGGATCTGGATTCAATTCCCAGCATCCCTGTGGCAGTTCATAACTGTCTATAACTCCAGTAATGGGAGATCTGGCACCCTCTTACAGACATACATGTAGGTAAAACACCAATACACATAAAATAAAAATAAATTGCAACAGGGTGGCTCATGCCTTTAATCCCTGCACTGGGGAGGCAGAGACAGGTAGATCTCTGTGAGTTTGAGGCCAGCCTGGTCTACAAAGTGAGTTCCAGGATGGCCAGGGCTGTTACACAGAGAAATGGTGTCTCAAAAAAAAAATGAAGGAAGAAAGAGCTGACTCTGAATTCCACACATGTGTAGTGGCACACATAGACATGTACACACATACATGTGTCCCAAACTTATGTGTAATCTTTATAAAAGAAAGATAAAGGATTTTTTCAGTTGTAGGAATATGATAAATCATATTACCAGATCAAAGAACAGATACACAGGAAAGAATGAAAAATATTGGAAATTATACTTGGAAATTAGTAAATAAAGCTCATCTTTCTTCATTTTAACTTAGTAAAAGAATTATAAAATATGACTAATACAAAAATCTGATGGCATTTCTCAAGTTTACATGTATGTAGATGTGAAGCATCACCAACAGTTCTGAGAAGATGGAATTGCATTTATTTTTCTTTTCATTTTTTTAAAGATTTTATTTATTTATTTATTATGTATATAACGTTCTGCTTCCATGTGTATCTGCACACCAGAAGAGGGCACCAGTTCTCATAATGGATGATTGTGAGCCACCATGTGGTTGCTGGGAATTGAACTCAGGACCTATGGAAAAGCAGTCAGTGCTCTTAACCTCTGAGCCATCTCTCCAGCCCGCATTTATTTTTCTTGCACTGTGTGAGAAGTGCTATAGCTTTAATTCTGATATGTCATATATAAAATGTACGTGCTGTAGTCCTCAGAGTGACTGCTGGCAAAAATTATAAGACAATATAGATAAGGAGTCATTCCACCAATTTATGTGGAACACTGAGCTGGACAAACAAACAAAAAATCTGCTTTGAGGATGCTAACACTAATTTCTTAGTAATTGATAGAAAAAACAGACCAGAGATGATTATTAAAGTATAAAAGTTGAAGAGCAATGGTGAAGACCTTTACTAAACTGACTGCAGGATAGCAAATACTTTCCAAAAGTCATTGGAAGAAAAGAAGACTTGAAAGTATCAAAGGATTAACATACTATAGAATATATTTGCTGACTGTAACAAATTGTATTAGAGATTAAAAAAAAAACTGCTGGGCATGGTAGTGCACATATTTAATTTAATTCCAACATGTAGGAGGCAGAGGCAGACCTGTGAGCTCAAAGCTAGCTGGTCTACATAGCAAATTCAAAGGCAGTCAGGCTACATACTGAGATCCTGTCTCAATGAATGAATGAATGAATGACCCATACATTTGAAAAAAAATTCCATTCATTTAAAAAGCAGATCGGTTTTGTATTTACATCAAATAATTACAAAATAAAATGAGATAATTGTATATGTAAAAACAGTAAGATGTTGAATACTTATAAGCATATTTAACTAAGTCTGCTCATTACATTAGAAACAACAAAATAGTGCTTCAAGAAATTGAGACATGTTAATGGACGTAGCATATTTGTGACTTGGAAAACCCAGTATTATTATTAGTGTGATAAGCCCTTCCAGATTATCTCTAGGTTTATTGCAATCTCAATAAAAATGAGTGTGTGTGTGTGTGTGTGTGTGTGTGTGTGTGTGTGTCTGTGTCTGTGTCTGTGTCTGTGTCTGTGACTATGCCTGTCTGTGTGTATACTGAGAAATCACTTCTAAATTTATATGGAAATTTGAGGATCTAGAAATATCTCCAAAAAAAGTCAAAGAAGAAAAATATTAGAGGTCATACATTACCACTTGGAGTTCTACTTGAAAACTACAGCAACTAAGACAGATAACTAGAATAGTGTGGGCATTTCTGTAAGTTCTTTGGTGATATTTAGGTTCCCCTAGAGAACAATACAGAGAGAAGACCGAAGGCACTGTGGATCATTTAATTAATTTACAGAAAAAAAAGGTTGTTATACATTAATGACTATTCACTTAAAAGGAAGGATGGTGTAAGGATGAGGAGCTAAGGCTTTATAAATTTGGTTCCATTTCTGTTGATGTTAATATGATTTTATTGTGATTTTATTTATCCATGGCTTCTTTTCATGTAAAGCAACTTAAGCTCTCAAGACCTAATGAATCACTATGTGCCTGACACACAGTAAACATTTGTGCATGATTTACTATTTTTATTCACGTACTCTTTATTCTTATTTATTTTTATTCTCTCCTCCAGTTCCCTATTGCTTAGTTACACATACCTGGCAGGCATGGGAAGCTGCGCAATCCATCATTCACTAATGCTTTTATTTCCACTCTTCTTTCTGTGCAGCTCCTGGGAAACTCTTGCCTTGCTAGCATCTGTTTGCTTTGTGTTTAGCTATGCTGGGACCAAACTGTGGGAACTTATGCATGCTAGGCAAGCACTCTCTCACCAAGATGTCAAGTTCCAGCTCTCTTCTCTTCCTAGCTTAGGCAACCTTGAGCTTGCTCCTCCTGCCTCAGTCTCTCAAGTAGCTAAGGCCAAAGGCTTGACAGCACTTTATTCTTTTACAGGGCTCTTCAAGCCACCACTCGCCCAGGAAGCTGTTCTGCCCCTAAGTCAGAATCCTGTTTTCTTTGTTCTACCAACATCCTCTATTTCTGCTCATGAATACAGACCAGGTTATCCCATGGTTCTCCTTACCGCTTCTTTGGCCTTTTGTATTATTGACCTGGAATTCACTATGTAGACCAGGCTGGCCTCTAACTCATATACATGCCATAGAAATTTCCTGCCTCTGCCTGGAGGAGAATGCTGGGGTTAGAATACTACAATGTCCAGCAAGTGTAGCCTATTGAAATCGAATGTCGTGTGTGTGTGTGTGTGTGTGTGTGTGTGTGTGTGTGTGTGTGTGTGTGTGTGTGTGTGTGTGTTTATATATATCCTGGTCTGATACAAGACAGCATTTAATTCATCCTTGAGTACATGCATGAAGCCAAACTTTCCTATTATGCTTTTGTGTTTGGTAGTGATATATTTAAATAGCATCCACTCATCATTTTTTTTTTGTCAACTTTGATTTGTAGATCATTCTTCTTGGAATTATTCTGCTTCCGGTCCGAGCTTTATTGGTTGCATTAATTTTGTTACTGGCTTGGCCATTTGCTGCAATTTCAACAGCATGCTGCCCTGAAAAGCTGACCCATCCTATAAGTGGTTGGAGGAGGTAAGAGATAATTATATCCAAATATTATACAAGTCAAACATTTTAAAGGTTTGGTTATAGTTTCTTCAGTGACCAATAGTTTTAGCTTACTGATAATCATTTTTTATAGTTTATATTTGTTTTTTCATGGAAATGGTCTTGATTTTTGCAGAAATTATCACACAGGCACATTTTGATAATATTCAGTTCTAGATATAATTTTTTAATGTTAAAACATTTGTTTACTGGGTTATTGTGAAAGATACTCATCTTTGGTTCTGAAAGAGTCCCTGTACTGTATTTTTAAAAATATTTATTTATTTTATTTGTATGAGTGACCTGCCTTCATGCACACCAGAAGAGGGAATCAGATCCCATTACAGATGGTTGTGAGCCACCATGTGGTTGCTGGGAATTGAACTCAGGACCTCTGGAAGAGGAGCCAGTGCTCTTAACCTCTGAGCCATTGCTCCAGCGGCCCCTCCTTCCCTGGGGTGTTTTTACATGGCATGTCTCCAGTTACCTCTCGTGTTAAGTGCTTTGTTGGCAGCCAATGGGCTTTTGAGAAGGGACTGTATCTTGAGGGCTGTGCCCTGATCAAAGGACTAGTCTCTTGATGGATCACAATATGATGGCATTGTTAGGAGGTGGTGAAAATCTGGAATGGCAGTTGGAGTAATTAGGTCACTACGAGTGTGTCCTGGGGAAGGAGTGGGGCTAGCTCCTTTCTGTGTTTCCTGTCCACTCTTAGGTGAGTAGCACCTGCCATATTCTCTCACTGTGAAGCCATGAGCTAAAAAGCAAACCTTCTTCCCTTCCTAGCTGCTTGTATTGGGCCTCATGACACAGTGATGCCGTCTGACTAATATATTCTCTTATTATTTCTGGAACATTATAGCTATAAAATGCTTGGCTTTGTTTTGTCTTTCTAAATTTTCACATTTGCTTTTGTTCCTTTGAGGTAACAATAATATGCTTTCTGCAGTAATACACTTAAGTGGATAAATTATGTTATTTTTAATAATTATGTCAATGGTTAATATTAACTTTAGTTATCACTCAGCATAGCATTTTTCAAATGTCAGTACTAAGGCAAATAGAACTGCTTTTCTAGCATTTCTAGAATTTTCTAATTAGGATGGTTCTAGAGAACAGACTGGGCAAGAACAAGTAAAATATACTGGTGAAAGTCATTACTGTTTGGCAGGATCCAGTTATTGCCATCTGTACATATTACACATGGACCTTCTTAATGGGTACTCCATGGGTTCCAGTAGGTTGCAAATCCATACATTTACTTTAGGACTCTGATGAGCTCCCTGAAATTGTGTATGGTGTTTGTTTGTTTGCTTTTTTCCACATGTAAGGGTGTATTCTTTTTATGCAGATCTCAAATGTGGTTATGTCCTCCAAAATTATTGTGAACCACTGCTCTACAACTTCTAGTAGAAGTGTGCAGTTTGCTATTCGGTTCTTGTCCCAGTGAACCAATATGAATATCAAAAACAAGGCTGGTTTCAAGTGGAAATAAATACAGTGTTAGCAATGCCCCAGAGAAAACTCAAGCCTTGCAAATCATACTTCTTTGTTTTATAACTCAAGAATGCACAGAATAAAATAACACTTCATGGGCAGCTTTTCATGACTCACACTTCTTTCAGATTCTTTCTTTGGTTTTACAGTTGCTGACATACAAAAATCTAGGACGAGAGAAGGGATAGTTTAAGAATCTAGAAAAAACTAGAAAAGTGTTCTTTTTAATATTTTATTGTTTTTACTTTAGAAAACTTTTGCTCTGTCAGTTAAGTCAGTATCTCTGTTTCCTCCTATACAAGTAATTTTGAAGTAATTATGTAGCACATGACTTTCAGCTATTAAAAAATTTTAAAAGTGTGTGTGTGTGTGTGTGTGTGTGTGTGTGTGTGTGTGTGTGTGAACACTTGTGTGTGTGTGTATGCCTCAGTACATATGTGGGGGTCAGAGGACATTTGGGGAGTTAATTCTCATGTTTCCCCTTGTTTTGAAGCATACTGTGTCATGTTTATGCTACGAGACAGCCTAGTCCATGCTAACTAGCTCACTGTCTCCTCCTCCCATTCCCCCATAGACAGCCGAGATGACTGATACACCCGCTGTATCTGCCTTTTAAGAGGGTTCTTTCTGGTGCTCAAACTCAGGTCATCAGGTTTACACCACGGCTCTAGGCATTAAAAAAACAAAACAAAAAGAAAACCCATCTCAACAGAAGACATTAAGGGGTCTGACTTATTGAAATATGTTTATGAGAAGCCACACTGCTTTAGTTAAATAAAGTGTGGAAACACAGAGCTATATATATACTTCCTGTTCCTGTGAGTTTAGAGCTTACCTCTAGACTAAAAGTGGAGGTCGGCATTTACTGTGCCCTCTGGAATGTACCCTGCTTTACCAGGTCTCACTTCTTGTAAGGTCAGCATCGCAGAGGCTGCCTCATTGGCTAATTACTAGAAGCCATTCACTGGCTCAGAAAATCAGAAGTTCAGTTTTATAAAGTTCTTTCCAATACCTAATAGGTGCTAGATAGTCAGCAGTGTGTTCTGCATCTGCAGTTCAACCAAGTGTGGGTCAAAAATGCTCAGATAAAAGATTATATCTCTACTGAACATGTTCACACTGTTGCTTATTAATAGTTCCTAGATAGTATACATCAGTCCTATTTAGACAACATTCATATTATATTAGGTATTATAAACACTGTAGAGGTGTTTGAAAGTCTACAGGACAGTGTGTTTAGCTTATGAGCAATGGTCACATGGCATTATATGAAAGACTTGAGCGTTCAGGCTGTGGAGTTTGCCCTCCACAATTACGGAAGGATGATTGTATATATTTTATTTTACATTCCATGAAAAGCTGTGTTGTTTTGTTAAGTAGAGATGTGAACAAATGTCTATTCATTCAGATAGGACACTGAGGACAGGCCAAAGACATGATTCCAGCTAAGTCTATCATAGTGAACCATTGAGTTTAACTGGGGATCTTACAGGAGGATAGAGAAGGGGTTACCTGCAGAAGATACAGTTACCTACTGAGCACAAGCATCTAAAGGGAGGCTAGGGCACCACAGAAAAGGTGCAACCCCCACTTCTAACCCAGCGATTGCTTTTTGCTCCTCTATCTGCAGGGAACCTGAAGCTTTAGTGAACCTGAAGCTTTCAGGCACTGCTTTCTTCTGCTGTCTCATGAACACTCTTACCTATCCACATGGAGTACAGTGGGCCCGGTCTTGTTGGGATAATTACAACTGTTCTCTTTTCTTTTTTGAGACAGTGTTTCTCTGTATAGCCCTGGCTGTCTTTGAGCTCAGTTTGTAGACCAGGCTGGCTTCGAACTCACAAAGAGCTGCCTGACTCTGCCTCCTGACTCTGCTGGGATTAAAGGTGTGTGCTACCACAACTATTCTCATTTCAAGACAGTAAGAGCCATATATCTGAGGTGTCCATTCTGTGCTTAGGAATCTGAAGATTGAAGTTTCTGTCCCAACCAGTCTCAAAGCCATTTAGTTCCAAATAATATTTACATACAGAAGCTTATATTAATTATAAACTGTTTGGCTGGTGGCTCAGGCTTCTCATTGGCTAGCTCTCTCTTAATTATTAACCCATATCAATTAATCTGTGTGTATCTCCACGTGGTCTTGTCTTACAGGTGATGCTCTGGCTTCTTGCTTCCTCTACAGGTACATGGTGTCTCATTCTCTGCCTTCCTTTTCCCTGAATTCTCTTAGTCTGGTAGCCCCACCTATACTTCCTGCCTGGCTACTGGCCAATCAGCATTTTATTAAACCAATACAAGTGACAAATCTTTACAGTGTACAAGAGCATTATCCCATATCAGGAGTCTAAATATGTATGAGAATTTTTTTTATTCCCTATTTATTTGTTTATTTATTTATGCTTATTTTATTTTATTGTTTTTGTTTGTTTTTAGATAGGGTTTCTTTGTGTAGCTTTGGAGCCTATTCTGGAACTCAGATTCCCTATTTATTTAAGCGTATTACTTAAGAGACTGGACCTTACTTGTCTTAAATGTCCAGCACAGTTCTTTGCACAGTGTTATAAAAGTCCTTTTTGCATTGTGTGTATATATGTATATGCCTATGGACATATGCCACCACACACTCCTTTTATACTTTGTGGGTTCTGTAATCGAACTTAGGTCATCATACTTGGACGAAAATGCATTTACCTGGTAAACCATCTAGGAGGCAATTCCTCGGGTGAGGTGGTCTCTTTCCAGGTGTGTCAAGTTAACAACGGAAGATAATTCTCACAGCTATTACTCCCCAGAGCTCATGTGTGCAGGTGGAGATCTTGGATTTTGTTTTGGTTATCTGACTGTATTTTAGAGTAAAGCAAAGACAAATAATGTGTTTTCTATCATTGTTTTCAAAGGAAGATTACTCAGCCGGCTTTGAAGTTTCTGGGTCGTGCCATGTTCTTCTCCATGGGTTTTACAGTTACTGTGAAAGGAAAGATTGCAAGCCCCTCGGAAGCACCCATTTTTGTTGTTGCCCCCCATTCAACATTCTTCGATGGAATTGCTTGTGTTGTAGCTGGGTTGCCTTCTCTGGTGTCACGAAATGAGAATGCACAGACCCCTCTGGTTGGCAGTAAGTACCTGTAGGGAAACAGCTAGAATACTATCATGTGTATACTCTAAGTTGTAAGAATCATATGTAGTCATTTTCTATATACTTATTTACTTTCATTTCTGGGAATTAAGCCCCATGGTCTTGTACATGCAAGGCAAAGTGGTCTAACACTGAGCAAAATCCCCAGCCAGTTAAAAATAAAACTTTAAAATATTTTAAATATATTTCCTTTTACTTAAATGAGCTACTCTATATTAAGGGTTTGTAAAAAAAAAAAAAAGACATTTCCTCTTATCTTTAGTTTTTTTAGACTTTCAGGAAATTTGTCCTTATCACTATGCCATCATATCTTTGTGTCCCTGTGTGTCATAAAGAAAATCAGTTTCAGACATGAAACATGCTTTTTTTTTAAAGAATCTGAAAAACATAGGTCACATGCTATTTCACGAACTTCTCTTCATGGTATGAGGCTGATAAATGAGCTAAGTCTTTTCTTCCAGCTCTGTTTTCTAAATTATTGTGCCCCTATACCTCCCTGAGGGACATTTGTATAACTCTTTGAAAATTATGATGTGGAACAATAAATGCTTCCTGCCATAAAAAATAATGAAGCAAGAAAATGTTTTCCCTGCCAGACGCTGCTATCTCTCCCTAAGGAATCAGTCTCCAAGTAACTGCTCCCGGTTGTCCCAAGGTTACCACAAACACCAAGTGATGGGAGAGTGGGTGTGAATGTTGCCGGATGTTGTCTCGGTGTTCCTTGGAAAGAATAGTAGTCCTTGTAGCTGTGTCATTGAATAAAGACACTTCTTTTTCTTTAATGTACAGCTACTGTGCTTTATGCAATGTGGCTTTTTCCTAAACATTTCTGTTGCAAAGCACGTGAAGTTTATTATACATGTAATAGGAGGCAATCTCTTTAGAAGGATTTTAGTAAAATCAGTCACAGTCACCCTCTACTCATGTATGCTATCAGTTCATACTATGAGTGTATAAAGTCTTCCTAAAGTCAAACATGACCTTTTGAAGTTTAGTCCCACAGTTTAACATCCACTAAGGAAAAATAACTGTTAGGAAAATATTGCTTTTCCTCCTCCTTCTATGCCCCCATTCTTTCCACTAACTTCTGTAAAATCAATGAAATAATACTTGTCTCTGCAGTTAAAATTAGAATCTAACTAGTCAACTTTGAATCTGAGTTTAAAAGGATTATTCCTTTAGATTTGCTAACATTTTCATTCTCTGTAAAAATTGTTTCAGTTTATCCAATGTTAATGCCATGGTGGCTTAAATAAATGATTGGGTTGTGACTGTTTGTTTTCAAGGACTGCTACGGGCTGTGCAGCCAGTTTTGGTGTCCCGGGTTGACCCAGATTCCCGAAAAAACACAATAAATGAAATAAGAAAGCGAGCAACATCAGGAGGGGAATGGCCCCAGGTAAGATGCAGTAACTCCTCATGTATATATATTGAGAGCTTTTGTATGTCTGTACACTTATTCATTTGGGTGCACAGAGAGTACAATATCATACCATGTGTCCACAGCATAATAGATGCAGAATAAATAAATAAGTTAGCATGAAGAAGACCCTACCCCCAGAACATACCATTCTCTTTTATTTGCCAGATACTTTCCTTACATTATAACAAATGATTCTCTGACTTTAATTCCTACTAGATAAAATGAATGTTTTATATAATCTACCTCACTTAACTAAAAGTATTCTAAGTGTACCAAATCTTTTCTGAATTATATTTAAATAGATCTTTCCATTCAAGGGCATATCAAAGTAGCCTGTAAAGCTGTCAGGCCTCACCAACTCCCCACCACTTCCCTGGGATGCCCATGTAAGTCAGTATGTGTTGCATTAAGCAGGGATGATCCCAACAAACACCCCTGTGTCTTTGCCCAGATGAAAGCATGTGATCTCTAGTGGACAATGCTACAATGGCTATGGTAACACCCTCTGTTCAAGCATACCCACCCCAGAGGTTTTAGAAACCAAGGCAAATGAGGAATGGCTTAAAAATGATTGAGGTGGCATTTGGAAAAGTTAGACTTTCTCTTTGGTTCCAAGAAATAGGTCTAAGATTAGTAGGCAAGCGATAACAAGTAGATAGATTTCAGCTCATTTTTTTTTCTCATTTTGCAGAACTTTTTATCTGTCCAGGGGGGAAATTGTCTGATTTGGAATCCTTCCCAGGCCCTGATTCACAGCCACTTGGTGAGGGGAGGAGACTGTAGAAATTATTTAAACGTTCAGCCACTAGGCTATTTTGAATGTTCCTTCCTCCCAGAGATTTCTGACTCACTTTGTTAGCATTCCTTGTTAGTAAGCTATTTGTGGATTCATGCCAAGTAAAACTGTTGGCCATTGTGTCTGCTTGTCACAGGAAACCCATTTTATAAATTAGGGGATGGAATTATGCCCACTCATTAATTTTTTCTTTGTAGTTTGAGCCAGTGTTTTCCCTCTCTAATTACTGTAGATCATATATTACTAACTGCTTTGAGTACAGGGATTTGATTTGGTTTTATGTACTTAGCAGTTTACTCATGACTAAGTTTTAAAAGCTTCAGAAAACCAATCTGTGTCTTAATTAATGGAGAAGCTTGCAATTCTTGTATATGTCTTTCACAGAGAAAACATCAAGTAGCACATTGACCTCTAAAATACTTCCTCAAGATAAACAAAGCATGCTACAAAGGCTATGCTACTTGATAACTAAGGCAACTGAGCAGAAGGCACGTCACAGGCATTTCCTCCTTTGTTCTCAAGGCATCCCTGACATATATTTTGGGAGTAAATATCAGTTAATGAGAAAACTATAACAGAAAGATTTCTCTTGGTTAAGGGTATAACCTTGCTTTATATCTTCTTTTAAATTTATTCAGATAATTAATAAAAACTTTGAGAAACAAATGGAAAAGAAGCAGAAGTAAGCAGCATATTCTATAAATTAAGAATACTGTTTAAAGCTTTGATCTTTTTCTAATTATTAGACTAGTCAAACTGCACTTCATTTTTTTTAACTACACTTTTTTTAGAGGAAGATGGAATGATCTGATTCCAATTTTTTATTAGAATCAAGAGTTAGCCTTTTATTTAATTTTTATTTTTGAAGCATTAGCAGTGTTGGTGAAGTCATAGGAGAATAAAGAGGTAATCTATTAATTAGACTGAAATATTAAATTTATTCCTTTTCTCCCAAGATACTAGTTTTCCCAGAAGGTACTTGTACTAATCGCTCCTGTTTGATTACTTTTAAACCAGGTGAGATAAATTAAATTATGTATTGTAACAATATAGTAATGGAGATTTCTCAAATGATTGGATTGTGATGTACAATATAACTCATTCACTCCTGGCATTTCTTTTCTGAAAAAACCTTTCCGATGCTGTAATTCCATAGAACTTACTCCTGTTTACTCCTTTGCTCTCTTTTTTTAACATAGCCTTTTCCTTTCAGTGGTGTGTGTGTCTCTGTGTCTGTGTGTCTGAGTCTGTCTGTCTGTCTGTGTTATTTTTGTCTATGTGTATCTCTCTGTGTATGTGTCTTTCTGTGTATATGTGTATCTATGTTCGGGAATGCTCAAAAGTCACTGACATTTTTCTTCTTCCTCCAAGGGACCTCATAGATGTCTGGGGTCTTCTGTCATGCAGTGGGCAGCCTACCTTAGTATTATTCCTATTTTTACATGCCTTCCAAAGTTCACTCTCGTTTTTCGTCTTAAGAAGGCAGCTATGAATGTGACTTTCATTTTAACTTGTAACACTTTAGGCTGTTTATGTTGGCTGCTAGTGTGCTTTGCACTAAAGGTGTGACTCCCTTCAAGCCAGTATAATAACTTCACTCCCAGCAGTTTAGTTCTTATCTTCTCTTTGATTTTATTCTCTCCTTGATTTTGTCATCGCTTTTTTATGTCATTGGATAGTATGTATTTAGGAAATGAAAACAATCCCCAAAATAAAAGTAAATGGTAAAATTATATGTATACTAAAGAATTGTTGTGAAACAAATGTTTTTGATTTTCTTTATCAAAGAAAACATTGGATAAATGTATGCTTAAGGGATATAGGCACAGCATTTAAGGTTTTACTTGTAGTAACTCATTTGGGTAAATATTTCAAAATGGTTCATGTTTTGTCTATTCATAAACCATCAGTGTATTTGTACTCTTTTTACTATTATAAACTTCTTGTTCATATACAAATCATTTTATACAATTTCAATGTGGTTCTAGGAGCCTTCATCCCAGGAGTTCCAGTGCAGCCCATCCTCCTCCGATACCCAAACAAGCTGGTAAGGGAAGAAATTCTGCATTCCAAATAGCTTATTCTATAGGACATTTTAAATATTGATGAATAGCTAAATGATAGAAGCAATTGGGCAGATTGATGCCACCTGTTACTGTTTTTTTTTTTTTAATTTTGCAAGATAAACGTCCATCTGTGATAGCAGTCCTCCTAAATGTTGTTCTGTATAACTTAGTTCCAAGACAGAATTGCTTGGTTTCTACTCTGCCATCTCTGTGATGGACAGATTAAGTCTGAGACTTAGGCTCTGATTATACTTGTCAGCAGACAGTTATGATTTCCATGGAGCTGACAAGGCAACTTTTCCAGGTCCAGAGGTGACTAGTGGGAGAAAGGACAGAAGTAGAGGATGCACCTGGGGGAGGAAGTAAGTACAGGCTCAGTACATACTGGCTGTGTGAGCCTTGGGGAGTAGCATGATTAATTAAGAAACTGTCACAGACAACTTCACCTCTTCTCTAAATTTCAAGGCTTCCCCAGGAAACTGTCGTCTGCATCAGCTGGTCACACTGTTACCCTCTAGACATCAGTTGCACTGCCTTTCCCCAGACCCTGGGGTCACACTGTTATCCTCTGGACATCAGTTGTACTGCCCGTCCCCAGACACTGGAGGTTCATCCTTGAAAGGACCTTACCATAGGGTTATAAAAAGGCAGAAGTAGGGTGCTGGAGAGATGACTCAGGTTAAAAAGCACTGCCCGTTCTTCCAGAGGTCCTGAGTTCAATTCCCAGCAACCACATGGTGGCTCCCAACCATCTGTAATGTAGTCTGGTGTTTTTTTCTGGCATGCAGGGACATGACACATGCAGGCAGAACACTGCATACATAATAAATAAATAAATCTTTTTAAAAAAGGCAGAATTAACTGTCATACTATTTAAGATGAAAGCTCTTGACCAGTTCAGCTTTCTGTTCAATGGCTGGCTTTTCAATTTGAACATCTCCAGTAAAAAAGGAATTCGAATCTTTCAAATTTCTAATCTTACCTCTGCCTATGTATTTGAATTTTCATATATTAAAATTCTTTCCGTATGTACTGCTTTGGGTTTTTTCTTCCAAATAATCAATTTGACAACTGATATATATTGCACACACATGCACACAAATTAGTTTTTCAGATATGCTTGTTTGGGGAGAAAAGTAAGTGAACATGTACAATAATTATTTTTATTTCAGAAGAAGTTGTTCCATGAAAATACATAGAGGTGGGAAATATGTCCTGTGTAGGTATATTATCTATATAATTCAGGAATTTGTGCACTGCTTCATGATCTTAGATAATTACAAGTCTAATATGTTGCTTTTTGTTCTGGAAAAAGTGTATATGACTCCTAATATTAAACAAAGCCTATTTTATTTTGTTGGTTAATTATGTTTGTTTTGTGTTCTTCATTTTTTGAGACTGGGTCTCATATAGTCCCTATTGGCCTTGAACTCATGGTATAGCTAAAAAATTGACCTTGAACTCCTGATTTCTTGTCTGTATCTCTCATCTGCTAAGTTTACAGGTGTCTGTAACAGTCTAGACTAACAGTTTTACTACTTCTACTGTTCTAGGATACTGTGACCTGGACATGGCAAGGATATACATTGTAAGTCACTTACATAGTTTATGCAAACTATCCTAACAAAGAAAAGAAATGTAATTTATTCCTTCTTTTACTTTTTAAAAGTAAGCATTTCTAATCAGTCTTAAGTCTTTTAGTCGCATCTCTAGGAGCAGTATCACTTTCTTGCCCACTAAGTATCCAGGGAGATTGATGCCCATTAATACCATTTGAGGAAAACTGGTCATCTGTCAGCTTCACAATTTTGTTGACCAGTTTATAAGGAACATTCCAGGGCCCTGGCTTGCATCATGCCTAGCTTTCACTGTCATTCCCACTATAGGTTTAGAATCCCATAGTATCTCTGTTAAAATTTTATGAGGTTGATTTAAGCAGTTTAGATTACATCAGTTCCATCAGTTTTATGAGGTTGATTTAAGCAGTATCAGTTCCATCAGTTTGGGACCTGAAACTGTTGTGGTGTGTCTGTATTGAGGAAATGGCTATCCAGGACTTCTGTTCTATTCCCAGGTCTTGAAAGCACAGGGCTCAGCAATTTCTAGAGTGAGGTGAGGCATGTTTTCACTGCTGACCAAGCTGAAGTAAATGAAACAGGCTTTTTTATTCTTCTCTCTCAAAGACTTAGAATCCAGCTTTCTTGGAAGACGTTTTGTTTAGTTCCCACTAGACAATTTGAGCCTACTTAAATTTCAGTGAGAACCATATGCAAATCTGGATTTGAAAGTTATCCCCAGGGCCTTACCCAGTTTTGACAGTGATAACAACAGAGCTCAAATAATATTGCCAATGGAAGTATTTTGGAAGAAATCATCATTGCTTTCTAGCACACTCCAGTGTGTGTGTGTGTGTGTGTGTGTGTGTGTGTGTGTGTGTGTGTGTGTGAGAGAGAGAGAGAGAGAGAGAGAGAGAGAGAGAGAGAGAGATTGTGTGTGTTTCTCCTTTAGTGTATGTGCAGAAATTTCTCTGAGATAATAAGTGTGAGCCAGGAAAGGTAACTTAAGGGTCAGTTGAATAAACATTAGTACATATAGAACATATAGTTCCTTTGGAGCTTCCATCCTTGGTAGGTGAAGTTAAGCAGATAGCATTACAAAAAATACATGATGAGAGAAGTAGGTAATGTGTTATCTTCAACTTTTCAAGGAATCAATTCACTCCTCAGACTAGATGCATGTTTCATGCCGATACTAATTTTGAACGCCTAGTTTTTAACTTTTGCACAGCAAAAATACTAGAGAAACAAGTAGTATACAATCATCTCAGGAACACAGTGTTTGGAACTTCAGTCGATACCAATTTATATCTTTTAATGTGTGTCATCCATTGGGCACTTCTAGGCTAGGTGATCTGTGGTGAGCATGGCTTTGTGTTCACTGATTTCTATGACTATCAGTGTGCAGCAGTCTGGGTGGTTGTGCAGGTCAAATAGAAGAAAGCTTTCTGGAGGTGGGGTTAGGGGAGGAACAAAGAGTGGCTTAGAAATAGAGCCTTCTAGTCTGGGGAGTGTGTGATAAGGGGCAAAGTAAAATTGAATGCATTTGGGACCCTTTTCTTCCTACTGGATTCTATGTCTAGCTGTGATATGAGGGCTTGTGCCCAGTCTTAAAGTATCTTGCTAGGCCATGTTCAATGGATATCCCTGGGATATCCTTTTTATTTTTATTTTTTTGTAGGAGTTTCGGGAGGGAGGGGAGATTGGAAGGAGGGAAAATTGCAGTTGGGATGTAATAAATGAGAAGAGAAAAGATTTTATTTATTACGTATACAGTATTCTGTTCCCGTGTATGCCTGTAGACCAGAGGAGGGCATCAGATTTCATTACAGATGGTTGTGAGCCACCATATGGTTGCTGGGAATTGAACTCAGGACCTCTGGAAGAGCAGCCAGTGCTCTTAACCTCTGAGGCATCTCTCCAGCCCCTGAGAAAAATAAAAGTTAAAGAAAAAGAAAAAAAGTTGGAAAGTGAATTCAGGAAAGAGAGGAAAAAACATTGTCAAAGACGCCTCGTGACTTAGAAACAGACACAGATCTTTGAAAAGCTCACATTTGTTATGTGCAGATGCACATGGCCCCTCCTGTTTCTACCTGTCTTCTGAGCTATTGAAGCTGAGCTGCTTCTTCTGAGCTGCTGGTAGCCCTATCTACTACTTTCAAATCTATACTCTCAGTTTCTATTCACCAAAACAGAGCTATTTCACCAAAGCAGATACCCCAGGGAGAAGGGACAGAGCTATGGAAGGTGGCTTTCTTAGAAGAATTTTGTCTCACTGTAGTGTGAACAAGGCAACTTGTTATGTTATGTTATGTTATGTTCAACCTTCATATTTTTAAGAACAAAATTTGTAGCTGTTCAAATACTAACTGCGAGGTCCTATGTAAATGGTTGAAAATTGTTCTCTTGGGCTGGAGAGGTGGCTCAGTGGTTAAGAGTACTGGCTGTTGTTGCAGATGATCCAGGGTTAATTCCCAGCACATGGCCTCTCACAATCATTGCCTGCACCTCCAATTCTTGGGCATTGGATGACTTTTCTGGTGCCTGTGGGTACTGCACACACACCGTGCACAGACATACATGCAGTCAGAACACTCAGATACAACATAATAGAAAACATTCAATAGAAGATTGTCCACTTGATCATGGTTAAGGTGGGTTGGTGTGGCTTGGAGCTTATGAGTAGTAAAAAGTCTTCCTTTCCCCATTCAAATGGTAGGCTTGGCAACAGTCATATTTCTGTATCATAATTAACTCTACAGATCCTAAATCAAACTCCCAAATTAATTTTTTGTATGAAATTCATTAAATTTGTTCTTTGGCCATTTCATACATGATGCATTCTGAGTATGTTACTGCCCACCCCCCTCCTTCCTCCCTCCCACTCCATCAACCTGCCCTCCTCCCTACAAGCTCCCTTTCCCATATTCATGTCGTTTTGTTTGTTTTGTGGCTCACTGAGTTTAACCAGAGCTGTCTGGGAGACTTCCGGTTTATAACTATCCCCTGGTGGACTTGCCCGTGGGTATACAGGTGAAAGTACTGAACACACTGAATCCATCTGTAGTCACTATTCCTTGGTGGAATTCCTAACTTAAGTCCCCTTCAGATCATTTTTACAGATAAATCATTCTTTCGTTTCTTTATAGCAAAAAAGAAAAAGAAAAAAAAAAGACTGGTTGTCTTCTTAAACATATGGTCTAATCCACTCTGCCTGATTTCTGGGTCAACTATCTAAAGAGGCTAAACTGAAAATCCTACAGAAATCTGGCTTAGAGTCTAAGTGCATCCCTGAAAGCTGTAAGGAAGGACATTTGTCTCAAAAACTGTCATACATAATGGCTTGATCAGCTACTTGGAGAAGCCCTTTGTCTAGATTCGCAATGAAATCTGCAGGTTTTCAGGACAGTTCCCCATTGCTCCAACCATATTACTGAGACAACTTTGATAAAAATTTTAAGAAACATCCCACTGACTTTTTAAAAGTTGTATTTTAGAAATACATTGCACTAAGGCATTTTCCTGTATACACATTTATGTACCTTTAAATTTTATTTTAGACTTATTTGTTTTTATTTTATGTGTATGGGTGTTTTGCACACATGCACGTCTGTGCACACATGCAAGCCTATTGCCCAGGGAGGTCAGAGGAAGTATCGGATCCTTGGAACTGGAGTTACAGACAGGCGTGAGCTGCCGTATGGATGCTGGGAACCGAACCTGGGTTCTCTGGAAGAGCAGCCAGTTTCTCAGCTTTGTCTCCCGTCCACATTTCCGTATATTGAAGTAGACTTTGGGCACTTTCTCTGCAGAGTGTGAGTGTGTCCTATGAAGGAAACTGTAAACTCGATATTTGTGAGTGTGCAATGAAGGAACTGTAAACTTGAGGTTTGCTCTGTTTGAGCTATTCCTTACACTCTCTAAAGCAGCCCACTGATTGCATTTGGTGATTTAGTTTTCCAATAACAAGAGTAGCTCTCTAACCCAAAGTACAGCATATTTAAATGCAAAATATGCCAGGCGGAGGTGGCACACACCTTTAATTCCAGCACTTGGGAGGCAGAGGCAGAGGTAGGCGGATCTCTGTGAGTTTGAGACCAGTCTGGTCTATAAGAGCTAGTTCCAGGACCGCCTCCAAAGCCACATAGAAACCATGTCTCAATAAATAAATAAATAAATAAATAAATAAATAAATAAATAAATAAATATGCAGTGTGATGGGGGGCAGCGGTGCTTGTGTGTAAATAGCTTGCATTGCTGTGTGAGAATAATTTCTCTTCTTGTTTTCAGCCTCCAGCTGTGTGTGCTTACTTTCTGTCAGCTCTTCACAAAGGTGGAAGTTGAGGTAAGCCATTCAAATGCAGCCTCTCCTCTGAATCTAGCTTAGAGGTGGCAGCCCAACAGCTTTAAAATTACTCCTGGTCTTCTAGATTGTGTCTTTATGTCTCTGCTGTCTGGATTTAGCTCTTGGAATCAAGCCAGCAAAAACATGTAACTTCTGAGGACTTCCAACATGCTAATCACTTTGGCAGATGAATTAGCCTTCCCTCTTCTCAATCCTCTACATTTTAATGCGGACTCATTAAATATCTCACACCTGACAAAAGGAGCAGTGTCAGCTGGTGGAGCCGGCTTCCTGGCAGAGTAGTTGTATAAAAACTGAGGTAATACTTGAGATGTGACAAGTGACACCAGCTTTAGAGGCCTCCATTTTCGGTGTGCTCTTGCACCTGGGAACACTGTAAAAGGTTTGTGTGGCTCATGCCATCATCCACAGACAATCTTTGAGTTGCAGGGGAAGATGGAAAGTGAGTAAATAATTAGAACATTTTCAAAATTTGGGCCTAAGTTTTAAGACCCTAAGAATCGGTTCCAGATAACAAGTGAAACCCTCGAGTCATGACTGAAGTCTGAAGGTTAAAATATTGGGACCTAAAACTTCTAGTATGGTTGTCCCAATTGTAAACTTCAGGATTCTGAGTGGAGGCCGGTGCTCTGAAGGGAAGGACCATACCATTTGACTTGCTGGACAACTTAGTTTTTTTAACCATATATAGGTAACTAGCAATATCAAGTGATATACAGTAATAAATCAGATTTTGAAATGAGTTTAAACTTTTGTGAGTTCTTTAAAGATTTGCATGTTGTCTGTCTACTTGGAAATTATCTTTTAGATTATGTAAACCTACCCACTTTTAAAATCAGCATAGCATCTATTGGCATGGTCATAAAATATGGGAGAACACTTACATGTGGGCTAATCCTAGTTGTTTTGGTGGGGGCTTGGGGGGGACAGAGTCTAATCTGTATCCCACGAAATTCAGGAAGCATTAAGGTAAATACAGTGAACTGGAGTCTTTCTCCAAGCCTTTGATCTGTTAGACCCCAAAACTCTTCCACAGAGGATGGGCAAGTTCACAGTTGTCCCTAAGTGCCCTGAACATGGTTCTCCTTTTTTTTTTTTTTTTTTTTTTTTTTTTTTTTTTTCGGGGTTTCTTTTTTTTTTTTGCATGTTTCCATGGGTTCTTTCTCAGCATGCTTGTTATTGATATACAGATAAGCTGTTAATGATGAGTCCTCTGTGAATGAAGACAATAGTAAAGTAGTAAGAGAGTCTATTGGGTTCTCCCTTCTTAATAACTGCTCAAATGGTCTAGATGTGTCTTCTGTTTCTACAAAAGACCAACAAACCTATATTTAAAACAACCTTGTTGTTGCCTCTGCAGAATTGGAAGCATACACACACACACCCCACACATACCACACACCACACACACACATACACACACCACATATACACAAACACACACCACATACACACCACACACACACATACATCCCCACACACACCACATACCACACACCACATACACAGATCACACACCACATATACACAAACACACACCACATACACACCACACACACCCCCCCCACACACACACCACATACCACACACCACATACACAGATCACACACCACACACACACCACATGCCATCAGTATCTTCTCTAAATCGACCCTTCTCTAGTCAAAGTAAGATGTAGCTCCACATGTGGAAGTGCACACAGCTGTACTTTCCTGTCTAGCATACGTGTCAGTGGTGAAACTACATTACAACAGGGTACGTAAGTTCCTCATCTTGTCCTCTGACTGCTATTACCACATTTCCTTTCTGTGTCATGACTTTATTTCTTTAAAAAAAATGTGCTCTCCATCTGGCAAAGCAAAGAATGTAGTCTTTGTTCTTTGTTCTTTAACTTCACAAATGAAGCCTGTTGAAAACAGTTGAATCAGTAGGGAACTGAACTGATATATTTGGATTGTGGTGCTGAACTGGAATTTATGGACTTTTAAGTTTAGTATTCTTGTTTTTTTCTTTTTGTATTTGTTTTGGATTTATAGTTCTTCCACACATTGAAGCTCCTGACTGCTTTATTTATTTAGTTTTATGTTATGGTACTGAGAACTTCATCCAGGGTTTCACACGTGCTAGGCCAGGATTCTACTATGAAATTACTTATATTCCCCAGCATCTTTTATTCTATTTTAAGAAAAGAATCTTGCTAAGATGCCCAGATTGGCTTCAAACCTGAAATTCTCCTGCCTCGGGATCTGAGTAGCTAAAATTAAAGATGTATACTACCATGCCTGGGTCTAATAGCTTAATGACATTTAAAAATTTTTTTCTCCACTGTTTGAATATAACTCAGAAGTGCATCCCAGCAGCCTTTCCCAGCACTAAGTATGGCCACACCCTAGCACAGACTCTAATAAGCCAGGCCTGCCTCAGAGGCTTAGACCTTTCCACTTCTGTGGCAGAGCTGAGCCACCCCACACAGAGCTCAGTTGGTGGTCTCAGGTCATTTTATCCCTGGAATTGCAGGTGTCTGGGCAGTTCAGAAGCAACTCTTTTTTTTAATTGATGGAAAATTTTGTTATTTTTGTAAACATGCTTCTAAAACATTTTCAACACTGAGGAAACCTAATCTAAGACTTGCTATCTAAGACTACTGTATTAGTTTTATACTTTTAAAAGCGAACTTTGGGTGGATTATGACACTGATTATTGTATATTATATAACATTTTAAAAAAGTCTTCAAAAAACAATTACTTAAGGGACGCTCAACTACAATAATGTGTTATATAACTGCTGTGTATATCTACAGAAATGCATTTTGTGTAAACATTATAGACTGCACTTGTACAAATCTAGATGGCTCTCTCATACACAGGCTCTCTGGACTATGTGGTAGAGCCTGTTTTCTCAGCTGCAAACCTGTTCAACATCTTACTATGTTAAATGCTGTAGGCAGTTATGACACAATGATAATACTTATACATCTAAAAACACGTATAAACAGCTCCATTATAACCTTACAGTATCATCATTATATATGTGGTCTATTGCTGAACACAGTTATGCTTCATGTGCCTGTATGTTTATATAATTTATTTAAATATCTAGATGTCTTAAATTATTTGTAATTTTTAATCTAAAGTAGGCCTTTTAGAAAATCCTTTTATAAAGATTTTATAACTTCACATAAATACACACCATCTACATGTATACTTGTTCTAACAAGTTCTAACAGGCAACTTTGTTATAGAACTTGACGTAATTCTGCAACTTGCATTAGTAGATGTGTTATAAAAAGCATCAGATTGTTCCAAGTTTTTACTACCTGCCTATATGTGTGAAAATTACTTCAGCTTCTCTAACTCTATGTTCTCACTGGTGACCGTGGACAATAATGCCTTTTTATGGGGTTGTGAAATTTAATAAGACTACTTATGTGGTACAGGTTCATTAAGCATTAACTTTTACTTCCCACCTCATCTGGCATTTCTCTTCCATTGGGAAGGAAACACCAAGTGGTGTGATAAAACTCTTCCCTTTACTTTGCACTTTCTCTCTGACGATTTAGAAGAGGAATCATAGGAACTACAATCTTGCATTGTTAGGGCTGACTTAACGAAGCTTTCGTTTTCCAAGACGAAAAGAAAGACAACCATCATGTCATCATTTAGCAGTCTTTCCCTTCTCACTCATTAGTTAGTGGGAAGGACATGTGCCTGATGCGATTATGGAACAACGAGCAAACTAGTTTCATTGGTGTTCAGCGTTGATGGGAAGCTGGTCCTTGTCACTGGATAAATGTGGCTAATACATCCAGTTTCCCCTGGATCTCTTGTGTACAGTTTACAGCTTGAGAAGAGGTGGGCACCAAAACAACAACAACAAAAAACAAAAAACAAACAAAAACAAAGCCCCAAACTGGGAAATGGGACAGCAGACCTTTTTAACGGGGACAGGCTGTGAGAAGAAATCAAGCATGGTGTAAAACTGGAGGCTATTCAAGCAGGGAGGGGAGGGGAGCTATAGGGCCGAGGCAGGTGCAGCGGAAGGGCAATAAAGTTCCCAGTGGATCATCGACAAAGTTCCTATGGGAAACCTTTTTTTAGAAGCAGAAGAATTGTTTGGCAATTTAAAACTTTAGTTCCTTATATTGTATTGTTAGACATTTAGTGAACATTTTCAACCTCCTGTTTTCTTCTTTGAATTTAATACTATGCAGGTGTAGTCAATTTTACTGGTTTAGGTCGGAGGGACCTTTTAGTAATTCTGATTTGCAGCTTGTTGCTCTAAATATATTAAGTGATGTGGAGACCTCTGGTGGCTTGCTTGGTTTCTCCACTTGAAGAATTAGGTGCTTAGCAGAGACTTCTGATTAGAAAAGACCTTAGAGATTATGGAGTCAAAATTGTCCATTTGACAGAAGGACTTGAAGCCCCAAAAAGGCTAAATGCCTTTCCCTGGATCACACAGCAGGGCTATTCTCCAAAGTGTTGTTGCTTCTTTGTATTGTTAGTAAAATAAACATGAAAAGCAAAATGACACATTGCATTTTATTCTGCAAGTCCTTTACATTTATCTCAAAAATACCTCTTGCATCCCAGTCTGCTCTGCATCCTTATTCCTCCTCTTCCAAGTCCCAGGGTCTCCCCTGGGACCATTGTCTTCCAGGCTCTTCTTTCTCTGCTCCCAACCTTTTCCTTTCTGGTACCCAACCACCCAAGTTGTTGCTCAAAAACTCAGACCTTGGAGTTGGAGAGATGTATTGATGGAAACTTCTGCCTACAGAGATGGCTCAGCAGTTCAAGGCACTGGCTCTTTTCCAGAGGACCTAGGGTCAATTCCCAGCACCCCTATGGTGGCTTACGTACTCTTGAAACTTCAGTTTGAGAGAATTGGATGTCCTTTGCTGGCTTCAATGGCCAACATACACATGTGGCACACAGACATAAATGTAGATAAAACATCAATCCACAAAATAACACAAACA